CTAGTATGTAATAGTGTAAAATTCACACTCCAATATAATTTACACACATATTATGTTATACACACGTACATACTAACACTCACCCAACATTTACACATACACATAAAAACGACTCAAGAAAAAAGAAATAAAGAAGAAAAAACAGAGATAAACACGCATAAAAATAAATAAATTAGCATGAACCTGAATTTTTAGACGACTGTCACATAGCAAAAGCACCATAAAATTTATCTTTAAATTTAAACTAACGCCACCATGCAAGACTGCCCTACAAACACACTGATCAAATTATTGGCCGTCTGTCAATACGCATGCCAATTAAACGCACGCCAATTAAGCAAGCTTGCATGCTGCATGCATGCTGTAGTGCTCGTCAGTCGTCACATGCATGAGGCGTTTGAAAAAGTAAATCGACTGACCATAAATTTTATTCCAGGCGACTGAAGTGTGGCTAAATCGATTTTATATTAGTACAAAAGTTGACAATACAAAACTGTAAACAACAAAACTATAGTTTTCCGCTCTGATCTGGACTGAGCCTCAAGTTTTCTTCTTCCCGGAGTTGAGGTTTAATATTTTCATTATCTGGACCAACCGAGAACCCTACCATTCAGTTTAAACCTGTTCTGCCCAAATTTTCTTCATATCCATCTCATCTTAACCTAGTCTTAGTTTATTTTGGATTTATAAATCTTTTATTTTAAAATATACTCTCTTGGTCCTAAAAGAAATGAATAAAAATAAATACTCCCTCCATTCCCTTATCCATTTTTTCGATAAGTTTGTTTTTTGAGGGATCATTTCTCTGATAAGTATTTCCGAACAAAGGGTATTAAAGTTTGCAAATCTTGAAGCAAACCCGGTATGAGCCATTCGGCCCAACTGAACCAGCAGCATTGACCTCTTCTCCAAGCCAAGGAAAAAGAAAAGCCCTCTCCAACCTCCCCTCCTCTGCCCTCCCAAAAGCCGCCCCCTTCCCAAAGAAAGAACCACACGCGCAGGCACAACCCACACCCCCTCCGCCGCCGCCGATCTCCCTCCGATCCCCCAAGGTAAGCCCCCCTCCCCCCATCCGCCCGATCCCGGATCCCCTCCCGCGATCTCACCTCACCGCATTCCCGCGACTCCCCCTCTCCCAGGAGCCGTCGCGTCGCAGCAGATCCGTCCATGGCGGCGCTGGGGTCCAAGCTGGCGCAGCTGCAGGCCAAGGCCTGCGAGGCGACGCGGTTCGTGGCCAGGAAAGGGTGCGCCTACCACAAGACCCTCATGGAGAAGAACAAGCAGTTCGTCGTGCAGCCCCCCACCGTCGAGAAGTGCCAGGAGCTCTCCAAGCAGCTCTTCTACACCCGCATCGCCAGGTCCATTCCCCATCTCCCTCTCTATACCACCCCGCGGCCCTTGTCTCGCCGTGTCTGGTCACGGATCGATTGCGCGGTCCTCGATGCACATGATCCTGATCGATGCGGTTACTGATGCCATCTGTCAAACCTGTTGTTTTGTTCGTGATTGGAACTGCTGTCCTTGCGTGACTTGTCAGATAGACAGTGCCCTAGGTCAGGCTGTTATTTGGGGCATGTGATTTCGTGATGATTAGTACAGTAGTGTTGATCGTCTAAACATATCTTTGTTTGGTAAAACCTAATTTATATTGCATCTTTTGTTGACTTGTGGCTGCTTGATGAATGGTAATACTACATTATGCAAGTGCTCTGATTGAGCAAACTATGAAACAGTGTTACGAAAAATGGGGTGATGCGGTGATCTTATCTTATCTGCAAGAAATGGAACACCGATAGATAAATTGCCGGTTATTCATATAACCTAATTTATGTTGCCTCTTTGTTTGGTTTGTGGCTGTTTGATGGATAGACTAGCAATACTGCTTTACTAGAAGTGTTCTGATTGAACAAACTATGAATTTATATTTCTGAAATGTCGCGATACAAGAATGAAAATGATGAGACATGTTTTATTAGTGGACATGGTTCAGATTGCTGCACAGATTGTTAGTGTGTAACAATCTGTTTATCTAATTCCATCCTGGGGCACTAGCTCATTCCCAATTGGTCTTGTTCCGACTGTAAGTTCAGACCCACAATGCTAGAGTCCTTTGATTGGAACACTAAGTGTTTGCTTAGAGTTTTTTCAATTCTCTGTGAACAAAGATGTTATAATAGATAAATTGCCGGTTTTTATATGGTCATGTCTTTCTAGTTCATGTCAATTTCAGAAAAAAAATAGGATTTATGCTTGATTTAACTAATTTCTCATGTCAAAGTGTGCCTTTTCTTATTGTCAGCAAGTTTGTTATTTCTTCAATTCTCCTTTGTGAAGGTTACTCTAGTTATAATGAGTTCTGTTTATATTTCACTGCGTCATAGAATTTGCTCGAGTTATACCTTTCATAATGGTTTTTTGTTCATGATACTATGGTATATTGGTCTATATATGAGGGGGTACTGTCATTATGACTTCTTGAATAGCTGTACTTTGCAAAAGTTTTGTTGAAGGCATCACTCTAAATCTGCACATGCAATTTCCTGAATCATGCTCTAGAACTGCATACCTGCATAGGCCATTCCGTAGTTACGACAATCAAAAGACTGTCAAAAGCTGCTACTCATCACATTTACCCGGCATAGTTTCATATCGAAATGCTGTACTTCATTGGCCGCAGCTTCATTATTCACTGTATCTGTATCACTGACACATGCATGTCTCCTGCAGCCTCCCGGGCCGCTGCGAGGCATTCTGGAAGGAGGCTGACCAAGTGAAGCAGCTGTGGAGAAACAGGAAAGATCTGAACGTGGAGCACGCGGGCATCATGGCGCTGTTCGGCCTCGAGCTCTACGGGTGGTTCTGCGTGGGCGAGATCGCCGGCCGGGGTTTCACCTTCACGGGCTACAGCGTCTGAGCGCCTTCCTTCCATGAGTACCTTCACGCGGTCGTCGTCGATTAAGAGCTGAAGACTCTGTTAGCCAATCAGTTTCTCGTGATGCGCGGTGCGAAGTTTTGGTTTTCTGAAAAAAAAATACTATTCTTGATGCTGGTGAAAAAAGTACTCGTCGATGAGGTCTAATAATTTGTCGCACGCTTAGTTTACTGATGAAGCCTGGACAGATGAAATGTCTGATGTTTGCCTTGCTTGCTTGCTAAGTTCAGGGCAAGAAATGATGAAATGAATTTCACTTGGTGATGAGGTAGTATAATAATGATCTCCCCATTTCACTTGGTTGAATCCTGGATGGATGAATTTATCTGTAATGTTTGCCTTGCTTGCGTACCAAAATCAGGGCGATTACGCATCCAGAAGAAATGATCTCCCCATTTCATATTTTCATTGCTGGTTCTTTTGCCACGCTGAATTTGTAAATCTAAATCGAAGCGATTGCATACCCATATCACCGAGTTAATTGCAAAAAACCACCACATTTGGGACATCAATTGCAGAAAACCACCTAGTCCCTAATTTTGTGCAAAAATCACCGCGTTTCTAGTAATTATTTTGCAAATTGCACTGATCAGATGATTTGTCCCATTTAACCACTTTCTGACAAGTGGGGCCAGATTGTAAGAGCAAAATGTTTACACACATACCCCTTGATCTAAAATAGAAAAGCAATCAGCCCCCCACCCCCAGCGCCGTCGCCAACCTGCTGCCTGTTCCTGCTCGAGACGACCGTCACGACCCCCGCGGAAGCTCGGGGCGGCGCGGCCCGTTGCCGCCGATTTCGGGCGTTGCCCCGCCCCTCCGCCGGCCAGAATGCTTGCCGCCTCACCGCCATTGCCCGCCAAGGTCGATTAGCGGCAGCCCGGAGATGCTCTTGCGCGGCAGGCGGCAGCTACCCGGAGGAGACTGCGGCGTCCGACGCAAGCTCGTCAGCAGCAGTGCCACACGCGCTGCTTGGCCGGGGACGCCGGAGCGACGCGCTGGGCTGACGGCGGGCGGAGGCGCGCTGGGCCACAGGAGGGGCGTGCTCGCGCTGGGCCGGGGATGCTGGAGTGACGACGAGCAACAGCAGCTGCGGGCGGCGGCGTCCTGGCGCACGATGCCTCTGCGTCTGACCTCCTCCATGGCGACGCCCCGGCACAGCACCTCCCCCGCTCCCCGGCGTTGTTCGGGGACTGGAGGCGCCGCCAGCCTTCAAGGTCGCGAGCAGCCCAGCTCACGCTGCTAGCGCTGATTCCGGCGGACGGCCGGCACCACGCTCCTGGGAGTCAAGCGGCCTGGGCGTCCCGCCCACAAGCTCCGACCTCCTCCATGGAGGAGGGAGGCCACCCCGCCCACGAGCAAGGCCAGGGAGGAGGGAGGCCGTCCCGCCGGAGGCCGCCTCGCCGTGGCCAGCCACCACCTCACAGGAGGAAGGCGACGGGGGTGGGAGGGGGGCCGATTGCTTTTTCATTTTTTTGAATAGGGGTGTCTTTGTGAAATCCAGGGAGGTGTATGTCATATTTTTACCAAATCATCGCCTTACAATCCGGTCCCACTTGTCAGAAAGTGATCAATCAGGCTAAATCACCTGATCAGTGCAATTTACAAAAAGTTTACTAGAAACGTGGTGATTTTTACACAAAATTAGGGACTAGGTGGTTTTCTACAATTGATGCCTCAAATGTGGTGGTTTTTTGCAATTAACTCCATATCACCAGTTCGGACCAGTGATGGATGGACAGTTGTCTGAGATTGCAGCTTGAAACGGCGGTGCAAAGCTGCTGCCGGAGTAGCTGCTCGGCCACACGCCCGCGCAGGCCTCCGCCGGCGATTACCCTGCTGCTCTCCCACCGGCGGCGGCGGCGGCATGGTTTGCCGGGTGATCACCGGTCGATGACGGGCGAGTCAAATTGCATGGTATAACTCCTTGCGCACGGGGAAACCGGTAGTAAAGCCCCAAGCCACCACGACCTCCTCCCCCTCTCCCAAACCGAGGAAGCGGAGCGCGTGCCCGGAGCCGGGAGATAGGTAGCCGATCGACGGCGGCTGCTCCGGCGACCGTGTCCTCATGTACGCGGCCGCGCGCCGCCTCCTCTCCACCCGCGCCTGCGCCGCCGCGCGGGCGTCCCCCGTGGCCTCGCGGGCGCCCTCCTGCTACTCCGCGGCGCAGTCCAAGTCGCCGCCGCCGCCGCCGCGGTTCCCGACGCCCAAGGAGATCCGGCGGGGCCTGGACCAGTACGTCGTCGGCCAAGACAAGGCCAAGAAGGTTAACCTCGGAAACTGCCCCGTTTAGTGCATAATTATCAAGGATTGCGCACAGTTTTCTGCTAAAACAGAGCAGAATTCTAGTAGTGCAAACCATGGATGGATTCAGCAGGGGAGTTGGCTGTGCAGGTGCTCTGCGTCGCCGTGCACAACCACTACAAGAGGATATACAACGAGCCCCCCACCAAGAGGTTAGATTCTTCCCATCCGGCGACTGAATTTGTTGGTGGTGGTTCGTGTACAGTGAGCCCTCCGATGAGTTCTGACTGAGAGTTTCAATTGTGGTTGTGGTGGTGATCAACCCTAGCTCATCCTCGGCGGGTTGTGATGCTGGTACGGCTGGCGACGATGACACTGAGCTCGAGAAGAGTAACATCCTTCTGCTTGGGCCAACTGGATCAGGTACCCGTGGATGCATATCCGTTTTACCGCTTGAATGTTCTAATGTGATGTTGCTTGCTAACTAATGTGATGCGATTGGATCAGGTAAAACACTTCTAGCAAAAACACTCGCTCGCTTTGCGAATGTGCCCTTCGTGATTGCTGATGCAACAGCAATTACACAGGTAAAATCTTGCATTGTGTCACATGCCACTAGAAAGCTCTCTTTGACGCATTGGTCGTTTACACATGTCCTGGCAGAAAATCAGGAAGCTGATTTTAATGCTTCTTTCTTCTTTCTGATGCTACAAATAGACTGCTCTTTCAGGCTGGGTACTCAGGGGAAGATGTGGAATCAATCGTCTACAAACTTCTAGTGGTACTTATCAGCCTATGAATCTGTTCTGACTGTTTGTTCACTTCGCATTTAGCTATGTGGTGCCACTAGTTTTATACTACTACCATTGTGTTAAAACAGAGTGTCGATGCATTTCAGCAATTTAGTTGTAAGTTGTAACCAACTACTTTCTGTCCTTGGCGATTCATTGGATCCCCAAAGGAACTTTCCCTTTTAATATGCACTAGACAACTAACATGTTGGTGTGTTCTGCCTCTTAGGCTGCTGACTTCAATGTCGAAGCTGCAGAGCGTGGCATCATCTACATTGATGAAGTTGATAAGCTCGCAAAGAAGGTTGTTGAAAAGCATTTCTGATCATTATTACCACTACCATGATATATAGTGGAGCCTGGAGCGCATTACATGTACGCTAATATGATACATTGGTACATTCAGTTCGGTTGCCAGGAGGACCGGAGGGATGTCTCTGGAGAGGGTGTCCAGCAAGCACTCTTAAAGATGTTTGAAGGAACAGTAAGTGGCTATGTTATGTTTGTAGTTGTAATATTCTTTAGAAGAGTACATGGTTTCATAAACTACAAAAATATTTGCAGCAGCGTTTTCCAAGTAGATAAACTCCAGACTCACATGCACCAATTCTACCGTATGTTAGAACATTTCTGTGAATGCTATTTCGATCTAAGTGGTCCTATTCTCTGTCCGGCACCGTATTCGATTTGTTCGTCTCTAAACAAGAACGATTCCATGTTTGTGTTTTTAGGTGATCAGTGTGCCAAGGAAAAGAAGTCAAAATGGCCTGTCTCATGGTTGTGTCGAGGTAATTGTTTTTTAGAACTTTTTACAGGCTGCTAAGACCTTTATGTGCCTAGTGCCTACTACCTAGCTCGGTAGCCATATTTCGACAGTTTAGCACCAAAAGCTCCAAACTATTGAATGGTGCTATGACTTTTGATAGTCTTCAATATGTAGTTGCTGCTTGCCTGAGTGACATGTGGTCAACTGAACCTCATAGATGGCTGCTATTCTTTTTTGTCACAGGCAGTAGGCAGTACGAACTAAATTTAATACAAAAATATAATCAGTACCTTGCATTACAATGACAAGTTGGGGATATGTTTAATTTGTTTTGCAGGTTGATACAACAAACATACTCTTCATTTGTGGAGGTGCATTCTCTGACTTGGGAAAGATTATCTCTGAAAGGTTATTCAGATCTCTACCTTTTGGAACTATCCTACTCTTCTTTTATATATAACCTCCATGTCATGTCTGAAAGTATTTGTGTGCTATGCAAGACTTCACCGCTGTCCTTTTGGTTTTGGAACACCAATACGTCGTGAATTGGGGGATTATTCTTTGACGGATGCTCTTGAACAGTCATGCTTGCTTGAAGAGGTAAGCTCAGTTACCGGTTTTGTGACACGTTTTAGTTGTTGCCCACATTGATACAAGAGATAATATTCGGTAACTCCTTATTTAGATCGAGAATGATGATCTGATTGCGTATGGCCTGACACCAGAATTTATTGGGAGGCTGCCAATAATAGTTGGCTTGACTCATCTCACTGAAGATCAACTGGTTCAGGTAGCAAACTTTTTGCGCATTTTTGTTTCCTTCGACTATTTTATTTGGGATCATCTCTATTATAATCATTGCTTCCAGAAGGTCTGCTTTGTAGTCCAATCTACTACATTCTGCATCACAGTGTTTTCATCCCATTTTGTCGACAACTTGAAAACCTAGCTAATTTATCTTTTCAGGTTCTCAAAGAGCCCAAGAATGCAATAGGCAAGCAATACAAGAAGTTGTTCAAGATGAACGATGTTAGTCTGTGATTTGTTCATGTCAGAAGTTTCAACTAAAGAATTCCTTCTTTGATGATTTATAACAAGAAATGTGTTTGTTCATTTTCCCTCAACAAGGTAAAATTGCATATTACTGAAAACGCTTTGAGGCTGATAGCAAAGAAAGCAGCTGTGAGGGAAACTGGGGCGAGAGGCCTACGGTCTATAATGGAGGGCATTTTGACAGAAGCAATGTTTGAGGTGCTTTGTACTTTATTTTCAGCATGCCATGGGACTGTGGATAACCAAGACTGACATCAATTTGGCCCTTACACTTGCAGATCCCGGATGACGCGGGAGAGGGGAAAGAGAAGATAATTGTTGTTCTTGTTGATGAAGAATCCGTAGGGACACCGACCCGTCAAGGCTGCGGAGCCAAGATTTTCCGAGACGATGGAGCCCTAGAACTATATGTTTACCAAAACAATATCAGGGTGCCTGGGCTGATTCAGAGGCCAAAATGCAGCATCATTTGCCGGCTGTGCCTTCTGGTAGCCTTTTCAGCAGCTAAGCTATGGCTGTATCATACCTTTGATTGTTTCTCCTCAATATACGCGTGGATTGTGTTGATACTGTGTAAGGCAAACATTTTCATAGAATGAAATACAGTATGATTTCAGATAGTAGTACTGAGTCTCACATTCTGTTCTCTTTCGTAGTTGGTGTTGCAGTTCCAGCCTGGAACGCTGTAACACACGTTAAACTGCAAGAAAATACAACCGGTTTACAATTTCATTATGCTGAACAAATAGGAAAATAATCTATGATAGTTCATCAAACTCTCATGGTTATCGCTCTATTTCTATTGCATCAACCGTGGTTACACAAGGTCTTAACCGGAGATACGGTCGAAATTCGAAACCTTTATAGCCATCAGAGCTCATACAGATTGATGCTCCTAGAATCGATACGAAAATGCAGGATTAGCTCTCAGAACAAATGCAGGACAAGATGGCTCATGGCTATCAAAATTGCTCCTGCCCGTCTCCTTTTGTTTCAGTACTTATTATTGGAGTGTCTTGAGGCGCACCTTCTCCAGGTGAACTGAGGCCAAGCCTGCTGAGAATCCCGGCATCAAGAGTGTTCGGAGTAGATGCGGGTGCTTCGGTCTCGCCCTCGGTTTTCCTTCTATGGCCAATGATGGCCTCAATGGCAGCAGCACTAGCTTTAGCTGCAGCCTCGTCCTTGGCAGCAGCCTCTGCCCTCCTTGTCGCCCTCTCTTCCCTGGCAAGTGCCTCTGCCCTCGCCTTCTCTTCTTCCGCCCGCAGAACTGCTTCGGCCTTCTCCCTCTCCACGTCTTCATACAGCTTTGCTATGTCATCTTCCCTGCCCTCTCCACGGAGCGCGCCTTCCAGGAGCTCCCTCGTCTCATCACTGAAAACCACATTCTCATCCAAAAGGATACACTTTGCTACCTTGGCTGCATCATCCAACCGTGTCACCCCAACGCCAACATATGCCTTTAGCAGTGTCTCGTAGGTTGCAATGCTTGGGTGAATTTTCTTCTCCCTCATCTCATCGAAGTACTCCTGAGCCTTGTCGAGCAAGCTTAAATCAACCAAGCCGTCGATGATCCTATGATAATGCGATGCATCAGGCTTCAACTCCAGCTCAGCCATTCTGTCGAAGTAGCTGATACCATCGTCGATGCGATCAGCCTTAAAGCACGCCTCCATGAGCAGCACACATGTCTCCTCATCCGGAACAAGACCATGCTCGCCCATCTCCTTGTGGAGCACCTCTGCCTCATCGACCAGCTTATTAAGCCCGAGATGCCGAATCAGATTGTTGTATGCTGCTACATCCGGCACCACCTTATACTCCCCCATCCTCCGAAACACCGCAATCGCATCCTCAAACCTTCCAGCAGCACAGTAGGCATCCACCATCACGCTGAAGCTTCTCACGTCAACCGTAATCCTCAGTGGAGGGTCATGCTCCCCGAGCATTCTGTCGAACAGGTTGAGTGCATCCTCTAACCTTTGGTTCTTCCCAAGCGCATCGAGCACCTCATTATAGCTCTCGGTCCCAAACCTCACCTCTGATTCCGGGGTGAAGACCTCTTTGTAGCACTCCATGGCCTTCTCCTCCATTCCCATAAGGAAGTAGGCCTTCATGAGGCTCCCGTACACGATGCCATCGAGGACCGGCTCGCCACCAAGCTTGTCCTGCAGTTCTTGGTGCAGCTCCACAGCTTTGGCCCCATCCCCGGCTTCCACAAACCCGGCCATGAGGAGGCTGTACACATGGGGATCGGGCCCGACGAACCCGGAGGCGAGCATCTCATCCTTGAGCGCGACGGCGTCGGCGAGGCGGCCGTGGTCCGCGACGAGGCACCTGACGACGACCCGGTAGGCGGTCGGAGAGGGGGGCACCGGGGATCTGGGGCGGGCGATGAGGCGGAGGTGGAGGAGCGCGGCGTCGGGGAGGCGGCGGGCGGCGAGGGCGGAGAGGTAGAGCGCGTGGGTGGCGGCGGTGGGCGGGACGGCGGCCTGGAGGGCGAAGCGGTGGAGCGCGAAGAAGTCGTCGAGGCGGCGCGCGCGGAGGAGCGCGGCGAGGACGGCGACGCAGGTGAAGGAGGAGGGGCGGCAGTTGGAGTGGAGCGCGTGGCGGGTGAGCAGCGCGGCCTCGTTGAGGTCGGGGGCCTGGGCGGCGGCGGCGGGGG